GGTTCACAGTCTATCCCAATTGGCTAGTTTAAGCAGTGTGAAGGGTGGGCCTGAGGAGTTGCTGGGGAGGGTTATTAAGGGAGGGAATTGTGGGAGGAGAGGGTGTGGGGGAAAGAAGGTCCTTGGCTATTGATAAGCTCTCTTGGTCTGTAGCTGTGTTCCCGGAATTTAAACTGAGCAAGCGTTTCCCGTACTTCCCTTGTGTTTAGGAGGGCCCATCTAGGGTGGACTACAGTCTAAGATGGAGGCACTTGTGTTTCTATCCTTTGATAGAAAAGACAGGCTGCAGGTTCTTGCAGTTTCTCACATCTCAGAGCTGGTGTCCACAGCCATGTCTGACGTGGTGGGGCATGGTGGGGCATGGTGGGCACCCTGGTGATCTGGCGCAGTGAGCGAAAAGGAAGTCAGAGTTCAGGGACTCTGGTGAGACAGTTGCCAGAGTCCAGGGTGGAGGCGGCTGTGGTGAGCAAAGAGGTGGGCCGAATATGACTTTTTAGAGCAGCCAGTGGGGTGCTTTTAATTTAATATTATTATTACTTTTTATAATTTTGGTTATATTGTTCCCTTTGGGTGTTTAACACCAAGTCCACGTGAGACCTGTGTTAATCGAAATTAATCTTCTCTCTATATATGTTAAGATTGGTTCAGGCTCCTTTTGGGGCCATAGACAGAGCCTCTTAGCTTTTCTAGTTTTTCCTCTACCAGTTGTGTCATCTGCCAGGATGGGTTATGCTCTTTGCATGGCTTCCTTTACAAGCATGAAACATTTCCCTGTTTAGTGACTTTCCTTTGAGCACAGTGCACACTGCTTGATTCTTGCCCTCTGCAGTGCACCAAGCTTCCTGCTCAGAAAGTTGAGTAACTTATCAGAGTTGTAGGATTCTTTGGAGAAGTCTCCTCATGTGCTGGTCCTTGCTGACCTGAAGGACGGATGCCAAAATGTTGGCTGTCCTCTTAGCCCAGTTTTGGTCTCAAGCTTTAGTTGTTCAACATCCAGAAAGTTATACCAGTACTAAAGTGGAAGCAGTAAGTTTAACTACCATAATCTCATCTGGATATCAAGCACCTTGAAAAATAAAGTATAGCTAGAAAAGTGCAATGTTTAAAAACCAATCACAGCTGTCTTAGAAGTCGAATTGCTGTAGGTTGTTAACATATAAGAGTTAAAGTTTTACGAGGAAAATTTAAAATCAGAAGCAAACATAGCATCTGTACAATTATGCTGGCATTACTGTACTAGAACCATTGGGGTTTTTTATCTTTAAAAATACATTTATTTATTTGGTACCAGGGGATCAAACTTGGGACCTTGTGCTTTCGAGGCAGGCCGTGGAACCACTGAGCTAAATCCCTGGCCCCAAAATACATTTACATTCCCATTTTAGTATAAAAGAACTTTCAACTAGTTACCTTTATCCAATTCCAAAATATTAAATGACATAAAGAAACTTTTATCTAAACTTGTTACCTTTTAATAGAGTACTATTTAAGTAGAATGTATTTGTTTATAGATGGACTTTACACGTTATTAATGCCTAATCTCTAATCATTACAAAGACACTACTTCAGCTGTATAAGGTGTAGGCACAACTAACTTCATAACACAATTATATAACAATCACATGCGGGCCAGGGATTTAGCTCAGTGGTTTCGCCGCCTACTGCAAAAGCGCAAGGACCCGAGTTTGATCCCCGATACCAAAAAAAAACAAACAACAAAAACAATCACATGAACATAAACTTGACAAAATTCATCATCATGAACAACTTTAGTTTGGATGTTGTCAATATGATAAAATGTCTTTCACACGTCCTGCAGCTTAAAAGACCTATACACTTGGGAAAACACAAATGTATTTAATATGCCACGAGATTGACAATAATTAGCATCACGGCTATATAGAAATCTTTAAATATATTTACTTAGTTTTTACTCTTAAAGCAAAATTTAGATCCCTTTAACAGGTTTACAGGGTATAACTGTAGTCACAAGAATTAAAGGATGTCTTTAGAGCTCTTATAAATTTAGGAAACAATGTTAATGACCATGTATAGACTTATTACCCAATTTACAATCTATCTTATTTATACAATAACAAAATGCTCATTTAATCAAAGCCAATATATATAGGTCAAGTTTGGCGGGGGGTACCAGGGATCAAATTCAGGACTTTTCTCTTGTGAGGCAGCAGGCAGCACCACTGAGCTAAATCCCTGGCCCTATATAGATCAAGTTTTAAGTGGCAGGACCAAATTTAAAGAGATGTCAAAAATTTGATCATTTCATGTTTAATTTCTAGATATATGTTAAAGAGAGAACTTTAGTTACTTTGTATGTATTAAATTTATATAGTCTTAATTCCATAGAAATTTAACTTTAAAGTTTAGATCCACAGCATATCTTGTTTTTTGATGTATCTTTAGTCCCAGATATGCATTGAGTAATGAACTAAAAATAATAGTTGTTCATTTAACTAATCATAAACTGATTATTGAAAACATTTTGCAAGCCAACACTTAAGTAATCTTTAACTCTTAAAACTCAGTTTTTTGTAACCGAAAGCCTAACAATGAAAACACAAGAAACTATCTCAGTAAAATAAAGAAACTTTGTTTTTTTAAACTCTAGCTTTGTAAGTTTAACGGAGCATCTTAATATCTTAAGAAAAACTTTATTGCTTTAGACATAAAACACTTGACCTTTTAATTACAGCCAACTGAAATATATCTTAACAGTTGCTTTAGATGACTCATGAGAACCAAATTATAGTGCATTTAACATTTTTAAAGATATATATATATATGGCCGGGGATTTAGCTCAGGGGTGCTGCTGCCTGCTTTGCAAGCAGAAGGTTCCAAATTTGATCCCCGGTACCATAAAAAAAATATAGATAGATAGATAGATAGATAGATAGATTGATAGATATAGATATAGATAGATATATCAATATACATATATAAAAATCTTTGTCCAAGGAAAAACTCTTAAGTTATTGACAAACAACAGTAGACATTGCATTTATAAAACCAATCTTTTGATATTATCTCAATCAGCTAACAAGCTGGATGAAAATATGTTACCAACTTTAAAGTCGTCTTTATTTTTATCTTGTTAACTCACTGTCAACCCTGTGAACAAAAGTATTTGGGCTATATAGTAAGTGTCCACTTATTTATATACCAACTAAAATAGAACATACCCCTGAAAACTGACACACAGAAACATATACAGCAATCCAATCATATATAACCTTTCTGCTAGCAAACTTTAAGGCCTTTATGAGCTATTCTGAGCACCTTTCCTGATAGTTTACACTATAGACTTAAAACCAGTAAGAGTCAGAGGATCAGAGAAGAGCTCTGAGGTTTTGTCTTTTTACTCTCTAATTCACCTTTGGAAAAAAAAAGCAACTTTTAAAAATCCTATATCTTAAATTGGTCCCAAGTTCATAAAATACACATTTTGGGGATAGACACTGAGTTATCCACAGTCATAGAAGATTTACTACATGCCTTTAAGATCTCCCTTGTGTACCTCTGAAAAGAAAAAAAGAAAAGAAAAAAGAGAAAGGATGGAATCCCCTTCCTCAAGGTCAAGCTTCCTGAGCTACCCACCCCAAAGCAGGGCCATGCACAGGTGCAGCCCACCCCACTTCCCACAGTCAGAACTGTCCCAGGGAGTAGTTCTGCTGTCACCCCAGGGTCAGAAATACCGTTACCCCAGCGTCAGAACAGCCCAAGGGAGCCACTCTGCTCTGTTTTTTTCATGCCCAGAACAAGAGTCCTTGTTCCTGAACATGGGTATTCCAAAGACAGATTGGGAAAGCGAGAAAAGAAATTGTACACAATAGCTGGGCTTTACTCAAAAATTTATCCCAAAGATCTTTGTATCTAGAGATCTGTAACACACACTCAGAAGGAACTCAGGGAGGATTTGTAAAGTCTGGAGATTTCACTTAACAACTACAGATCAGGGAAAACAACAGCCACGTGGTTCCCTCCCCTCCCACATGCTGCTCCCTATCTCCTCCTGGTAACATCATATCAGAAAAATGTTAAAGGGTTTGAGTTTCTGACAGATGAAATCCTGAGTGGGAGAGAAGGGACAAGGAAGGCCTTAGGGCTTTCTTAAGGAGGAGACAGTGTGTGTGTGGAGGGCAAACAATTAGGCTCCTTGTTCCTCTGAGTCCATAGACTTCACCAAGTCCCATGGATAGCATTAGTATCACCTGATTGACTTAAATCTGCATGGCTTAGGATGTGTTTCCAGCTACCCAAAAAGAGGAGCTGTGGGATCAGGTAGATTGAGTGTAATGAGTGTATGCCCTTTGGTTTTTAGAGACGGCGGGGGTGGGGGATCAAAAGAGCAGTTTAGAGAAACTCCCTCAAACTAAATATGTTTAGGTCCCCCCAGGCATATATGCTTTTGGAGATTGCTTTCTCCAGTGTAACCTGGCAGCCAGTTCTCTCAACTGGGTCTCAGGACTGAGTTCCTCATGCTGGGTACATGAGAAACTTTATGCTAGAGACACTGCTATGGGCTTCATCCTTACTTTGTGTCTCCCTGGAGAAGCAAGATTTTTCAGGGTCCCATCTAACCCAGGGACAGGGTATGGTGCTAAGCTAAAGGAATACCCAGTGAGGGTGCTATGTGTCTTGGAGTGTGCCTCCTGACTTGTCTTCCTGTTTCTGGTCAGAGAGAGCAAGTGCCTCTTGTCTTCAGTGTTTTATGTGCAAGCACTCATTTTCTAGGGGTTTAGGAGTCTCTAACAGCTGGAAAAGAAAAATTAAAAGACCCTACTGCTGGCTACACAGGGAGACATAGAGAAAAAGATAAACTATACTTCAAAGGCAAAGGGGTTGGGAGAAAACTACACTTCAGAGAAAAACTACACTTCATAAGGCCCAGGGATTGGGGGAAGTGGGAGCAAAGAAAGAAAATCACTAAATAAGTAAAAAGCCATTCGGTTGAACTTACCAAACCAAAGTTGGAACTTACCAAACCAAAGCGGAGATCTCTGCAGTTTCCATGTCTCTTTCTAGGTCCCTTTGTGGTTGCCAAAATAAATGTCACTGGCTTGGGTGTGAGGGTCCCCATGACTAAAATAAGGAACTTAACCCACACGTTTAAAATAATTGTGCAGGTTTGCTGACTCCTGTTGGGGAAAAAGAATTTTCAGGATGCATCAGTAAAAGAGACTTGAGAAAGATTTATCAGCGGTAGATATAGGATGCACTCAGAAGTGGAGTGCAGGTGCTCAAGGAAATAAGGCATGACACAGTTGGGAGCTGGGGACCTTTTCTGTGTTTTGGGTGGTGGAAATCAGTGGAATTTGATAATCTATAGTCTTAGTCTTATCTACTGGTAGGAGAGGATGGCCCATAGTGAGATAATGGTTCATTCACATGGAAAATCCTAAAACAGTGGTCTATTCATAGGTGAAAAAGGACCATTTACAAGTAAAAACAAAATGGACAAATCCATTTGTAGGGTGCTGGTGTTATAGACAGCTAATTTGGGTAGAAATATTAGAGGCAGTCAGATAGGGATGGTTAGGATGTCTTGACTCTCTCCCTTGAGAGAGAGGGTAAAACACATTACAACCGGAGCTGGAGATGCATCCATTAGAGAACAGGCCTCAAGATAGAGGTAAAATGACCAGGCCTGCATACTTCCCCAAGGGACAAGGTAAGTGGCAACACTTGGCCTAATGAAGTCTAGCTAGACATCAGTCATTGCTGTGGGAGACCAAGACTTCTGGACCTATCATTTCCTAGAAGAAAGTCTTATTCTTTCCATGCACACTTATTATGTGACTTGTTTCCCCACTGGATCACTATTACCTAAGCGACCATACTTATAACTTTACTGGCTAATCATAGCTGTGACCCACATTGTACCCGTATGGTTGTACTCTATAAAACTTCCCCTGAGAAGCTGGGTCCTCAGCAACCCACTGTCGAGTTCCCCCTACCTCTCAGGAGCTAGCCTCTCAATAAATATTTCCTGCTCTTAACCTCCGTTGTTCCTAGAATTCATTCTTTGATTTTAGAGAACACAAACTCAGCATATGAGACATCTAACAGGTTGGGAGATATAATATTTTCATTATTCATCGCCTGTTTCACTGGGGTTTATTATGTTTTTGGAGAATAGAAAGAGAAAAATAAAATATAATAAATTGGGCTCGTGTCCTGAAGCTGCAGTTTTTCTTCAAAGTGTTTTTTAAAATCTCAATTTCCTTTCCACTTAGTTTTTATTTCTTCTATTTTACCTTCAAAGGAGAAACTTTAAAAATATGTCAGTATAGAAGAATATTTTTGTAGCTTTGGGTAAGGAATTATTTTCTAAATAAGACCAGAAAATACTAGCCATGAAGGAAAAGATTGAAAAATTAGTGAAATTCAAATTATGAATTCCCTTTTATCAAAAGACATCATAAAGAGAGAAACAGACAAGTCCCAATTGAGAGTGCATATTTACCATGCATACAATTACCATAAATCAGTACGCAGAATTTGTGGAGAACTAAAAATCGGTAAGAAAAATAGAAACTACCTAATAGAGTAGGGATAAAAGGAATGAATAAGCTTTTCACAGAGGAGGAAACATGAATGGACAATTCATATACAAAATATAGTTGAATTTCATTGGTAATCAAGAAAAAGCAAAATGAATATATTAGAGGGTTTGAGGGTGCTGGAGTCTCCTTCTGGAGGTGGTTTCTAGGTTCTTTCTGTCCTGAACAAAGAATTGGTCAATATAAACACAAACAGTAGCAAAATTTTATTAAAGGTAGGAAAAGAAACAGGCTCTGCAGAGTGAGTTTGGGCCTAGTAAAAGTAGGAAAAGAAGTGCACCTGCAGTGTGAGGCCAGGCCACCAGGCAAGAGAGAACACAGTGGCAAAAATCAATGTGGTTTGTCCTTTTGGTGTCACTTAGCTCTCGGGTGGACGTCAGATCCAGGCCATTCTATGGAAAACCTGGTTGAGTTCTTGCAAGAAGTCTATGTGCAGGGCTTTGGGATTTGCTCTGTGCATGTGTTCTAACATTTTGTAATTAACAGGTCACACCTACTTTCCCTGTCAGCTTTGCCATGCTCCAATCTCCTGTTTCAAAAATACTATAAGAGGGCCAGGAATTTAGCTCAGTGGTTCTGCCACCTGCCTCACAAGTGCAAGGTCCCGAGTTCAATCCCCAGTACCCCTCCCCCCAAAAAACTATAAGAGATATTTTTATACTCATCAGATTGGTACAAATTAAAGTCTGACAGTTTTAAGTCTTGACAGGGCTGTAGTACAATGAGGTCTCCTAAACACTGCTATAATTAGAAAACAATTTGGCATGATTTACCATGGCTGAGACTGTACATCTCTTATGACTCTTATGGATATGCCCTAGAATGACTTGCACATGAGTACCAAGTGTCAAGTTGAAGGACGCATTGTTTGTATTAACAATAAACTGACCAACTGGTCACCAATAGAATGGAGAAGTCAATTATGATGCATCCATAAAAGAGCTGAAGCAATGAAAACGATTCAACTATGTAATTGACTCTCAGATACTTAATGTTGAAAGAAAAACAATGCATGAAATATAGTATTTTAATAAACTTGGAATATAAAGAAGCAATGCTTTCCTTAGTAAGACATATATACATGGTAAAACTATGAACAACAGCAAAGAGATGATAGAACCAATCTTTAAAATAGTATTTATTATCAAGGAGAGAGCTTGGGGAGTCTCACAGATAGTGTTGTGTTTAGATGTCCCCCCAAAGCCTCATGCGGTCATAGGTGGGGCATTTTTAGTGGTTTGATATAGAGTGTGTGAGGCTGGGATTGATCCATGGTGCAATGCTAGGATCAAGGGTTAGTAGGATGAAGGGTGTGAGTGCTACCTGCCCTAGTAGCCTGGATAAAATATAAGGGATAGGAAGAGCTACGATCATCCCTTTATTTCTTTGCTACCTTCTGCCCACCGTGAATTGTTTCTCCTCTGCAATGCCTGTCTGCCATGCCACCCTGCCTTGGAGCCAGCCAATTACAAACTGTGAACTAAATAAACTTTCCTCCTTTAATATGGGCTGTTGGATATTTTGTCTCAGCAATGAGAAAAGTAACTAAGACATGTTGTAAGATAAAATACAGGAGGCCCAGATAATTTTGAATTTAAATAATGAATACATTTTTTAGTATAAGTATGTCTTAGATATTGGCTAGAACTTAGTTTTACCAAACCATTATCGACTGTCTATCTGTAATTCAAAGTCAGTTGAACACCTTTCCCATTGTTGTTTTCAACTAAATCTGGAAACCCTATTCAGAGGGAATGTCAATGATATTTACAAAGTTCCATTCCTTAACTAGGGTGGTAGGTTCATGGATGCTCATAGCATTATTTTATTTAAAAAGAAAAATTTAAAGCAAGTCTCACTGTAATTTCACTTAGTGGATTGAAAGCTTTGGCTAAAAGAAAATAAGATGTAGTTGTACACTGGGCTAGGGAGTTAAGAGGAGGCCCTTCCTGGCCCCCTGGGGACAGGTCAAATTGCTTGTAGCTTTCTTCTTATCTCTGGGTTCTCTGGTGATTACCTCAACCCATTCCATAACCAAATAGCTGTTGCAGGAATCTGCTAGATCAGGTTTCCTTTCACTATGTCTGGAAGTGTGGTGCTTTATGCAACTGGGGATCCACTTTAAGTTCATATTTCAAGTTATAAAAGATATTTTTAACCATCAAAGCTCCCTCCTATCCCCCAGCTCACCAGTCTCAGAGAAAACATCACAAAGAGAACACAAAGAACATCCAGATTAAAGAAGTTATTACTGTAGTGCAAAACCACTTGCCCAGTCTATGGGGAAAGAGCTTGCCAGAGGGAAGAGAGCCTTCCATAACAATTAGGTGATGAAGGCTCATACAAAAGCTATTTCTTGAAGCAAGTGCAAGACAAGGGTAAAGAGGGACCAGAAAAAAGCAGGGTGTTCTAACATAGCACAAATTATGGGGGCAAGGAAAGGGGGCAGCTCTGTACATACAGAAGAGATTCCAACCAGATCTGTCATTAAGTGAGCCCCAGGAGGGAGAGCAGATACATTTGGCTCTGCTGCATTTGCATTGTTTACCTCAGGGACTGCGAAAGCATTGTCCTCAATACATGTTTACGGGTAGAATGCATAATGAATGAAAGAAGTAGCACAGGGAGTATTTAAGGTTATTATCAGATCCTTCTAAAGGTGAAATTAAAAGGTCACTTCAGAATCTGCCCACTGATGATCTTACAGATTTCACTGTGTGTAAGAATGTAAACTGCTTATTGCTCTCAATACAAAGTCTAGGTTTATAAAGTCCTGAATTAAAAGAATTCCTGAGAAAATCTACGTATTGATACAAGTCAGGAAATGTGACCAGAATGGGGAGAACCAAAGATGCTCCCTCACTCCCAAGAGACCTCACCTTAACCAGGCTGCATCTGCCTATTTGCTTAGGCACACGGCAGCACTGTGCAACACATTTTTAGCTCCTTCAGGAAGACCTTGGGGGATGATGGCCAACTTCTGACACTTTTCTTTTTGACAAGAGGTATTGACACAGTGATCTTCTCTATCAACATTTGCAAATCATTCTTTCAACAAAGATTTATAAAGCATAGGCCAGGTAAGCACTAGAGATTTTGAGGTAATAAACACCTGCTAAATAGCAGGGCAGTGTTAAGCCCATGACTTAGACTATATAAGCAGGTACTGTTATCATCATTTTTGAGGATGAAGAAACTCAGAGGAGAATAAGACATGATCAATGGCTTCAAGAGGGGAAACTGACAATCGCAAAAAATGGTCCTGAGGATTTCTCCAGGGGAACATAATGTACATGACACACAAGAGGCTATGTGTCATGTACACTATCACCCAAATTGTTCATTGCTTTATAACAGCATTACTACATAATTAACAGCTTAAAACAACACACATTTATTTTCTTACAATTCTAGTGGGTCAAGAGTCCAGGTATAACCTGGGCCTTTGGTTTCAGACTATCATCTGCAAGTTGTGTCAATGTGTTGGCCAGGTCTGGGTTCTCATTCTTCACCTTGGGTGGAGAAGCATCCACCTCCATGCTCTGGTTCAGTTCCTTGTGGACTGAGTGCCTCCCTTTCTTCCCCTCTGTCAGCTATTACCTGCTCTCAAGTCTGCATGTGACATCTCCATCCTTGAACAACATGCTGGCCTGCTTCTTCACA